GTAATGGATTTACACTGAGTCATTCATACTTTTTTAGGCCACTTTTTAACAAAAGGTACACATTTGCAAAATAGCTTATTAGGTTCAAGAGTGTAATTTTTGGCCATGGGACAAATAAACAAAACTCATTAATCCACTTGGAGATCTAGCCTGTAACATCAGTCTCATTAGTAGAGTCCTCTACCTTAACGAGTAAAACAATAATAGGTATATCTGTATGTATATATGCATGTGCGAAACTTGAAACAAGCTGATAATGGATAAACATATGGTTTAGAAAGACAAACCTCTGTTTTCACTTTGAAACAAAAGAACATTGGTTAAGAGTACAAAGTTGAAAAGATATTCCTAGGGAAAATAGCTAGAAGTTTAAGATTCTGAGAATAAATATGATATAAATAAAAAAGATTAAGATTCATTTTAAAAACATTTAAAATGGCAGAGAAACACTGTGGGGATAAGATATTAAGGAGAAAATATTTAGTGGAACTAGATATTGCTTGCTTATGGAAATTATATCAAGGCTCTGGGGATGGGGGTCGGGGGGAGGGTTGTCTGAAGGGGAGGGGAAAAAGTTGGTGTGCCTAAACAAAGAACTGTAGTTGGCACTGACACACAAGTAACAATGCCATTCCTGCCACAGAGATTGTGTCTGCAGCAGCACACAGGGCCTTCGACATTCCTTCACTATCTCATTTCTGTAGGTAAGAAGCATGGAATTTTAGAATTACTAGTAGAAGAAACTTGGCAGATCATAGACTTAAATCCCTCCACTTAACATTTATTAAAATGAGATTGTAAATGGAGCCTACTTTTGTATCTTTTCCCCTCTTTTCTATATCCTCTTATTAATGCGAGAACCATTCTGTCTTGAGACACACAACTGTGGTCTATTCCCATTGTTCTGTGGAAGCCGTAAAACAGGGACCACTGGCTTGCTTTCCTTTGGCCCGCTCAGCCCCAGGCCTCCTCTTCCACTCCTGGGGGGAGGTGATTCTCTCCGTGCATTGGTGGGATGTCCCATTGAGGTTATCTTTCCGCAAACATACCCAGGTTGGAATCTGAGCAGCATACCTGTTTTTCTGTTACTTGTAATATGACCAAGTATAAATGTGTGTATAAAATAGCATTTTTACCATTTCGGGTTCCAAGTGTTGGATCTTTTTCAACATAAAACTAGAATTTTCAGAGATTTTTGTCTTTTAACCTAAAAATCCAGCCCCAAAATGAAATGTGCAGCCTCCCAGATCAGTTATGTAAAACTTGGAAGTTCTTGCCAGCACGGAGGAGGCTGCATGGATTACTGCCATCTGGTTCTGATCATGTGTTGGATCCTTGAGATTTCACAAATAAGCCACCCTAAAAACAAGCAGAATACTGAAATGCAGAATAAAATTAGAGGTGAGCTCCATATCCAAAGGAATATTCCCTAAATTCTGGAAGGAGTTACTGAATGGATGTACACAACCTAATGAATCAGACAGTGATTTCCATCCTAGTTCTTACTGAAATTATTGTCATGGTAATACCAAACTTTCCATGCACATATATATATAAAATCAAGTATCACTTGTGAATAGTGAAGTAAAATCTTAAATTGTTCAAAAGATCAGAGTTTGAAACCTGCTGAGTTCAAGGGGCTTGGTAAATACTTTATAAGTAAAGCAGTACCCTAAAATTAAGACTTCACCTAAGACTGAGGACAAAGTTGAATAAACTCACTTAAGAAAATGTAAAATCAAACCTCCACAAGCTCAGGGTGATCGGACAATGATTTAATTGCATGATAGAACAAAAGTAGTGTAAGAATCTCAGCCTATCCCTGAGAACACACAAACATTCATTTAAGGTCAGTCCTAAGTATGAATGTGAAAGCTAAAACTCTAAAATGTTACCAAAGGACATTGTTGAATATCTTTGGGACCTTGGGGTAAGCAAAGGTATCTTAGAGGGGACAGTAAAAGCACTAAACATAAAGGAAAAAAATAAATTAGGCTTGATCAAAACTGAAATTAAAAACTCATTAAAAGATACCATTAAGAAAATGGAAAGGCATTCCATACAGGCTAGAAGAAAATAAGAAAAAGAGTTTCAATCTCAGTAAATAAGGAAATGCAAAATAGAGCAGTGATAATCTTTTGTCCACCTAATTGGCAACACATTTTTTAAAAAAAAACAGAATATCTCCTTTTGCCAGAGTTATGGGGTATAAGGTACTTTCCTACACACTCCATGGAACATTTCTCTCAGTGGAATTTTGCCTTTTGACCTAGTAGCTCTACTTCCAGAAAAATATGTCCTAGAGAAATACTTGTTCATGTGTATAGAGAGAGGTGCATATATAAGGATTCTTTAAAACTTTGTTCATAATAGTGAAAAGTGGAAATAATCGAATTGTCTGCCAGCCTTTGTTAGAGTTATTCAGAATATGTAGAGAGAAAATATCCTGGTATAATAATCTTGGATAATTAACTTTATTATAACTTAGTTTAAGGCAGAGGCAAGGAGATAAAGTCAGATCTTTACTTTTTGGTGAGATATGTTATTAGAAAATGATAGTTTGGTTTTTCTTTTTTCATAGCAGTGGCTAATTATGTACGTGCTTTTATTTACTTGACTTTTTGCTCTTTACTCATGCCCACATTTTGTGACCTACAGGATAATATTTAACTATAAAGTAACTTATGTAAAAAAAGTATTTTCAAACTCTGGGACTTTTCACTGAAAATTTTTTTTATTTTTACTTCTTTATACTTTGCTCAGATTTATGCTATTTGCTCTCCTGAAAATGTAAACTATAAACTTTTCATTAAGCAAGCAGATGACCAATATAATCTAAGAGACTGCTGGCTTTCTCTGTGTGTGTTAGATTACAGAGTGGTGTTTTGGGTTCAAACACAGGACAATTTAGGATTAAAATTCTGCATTAGCAGTAGTCTTCCCTAAACACATACACACAGAGAAGAAGATGGAAAAGGCACCAGCTATCACTTGTTTTTGGAATCTGACATTACTTATAAAGAAGTATTACTCTGGAATCTGAGAGAAAGATGAATATAGGAGGAATGGACAGCATTATTATTTGCTGACTAGAGGCCCGTTGCACTAAGAGATCCATGCAATAGGCCTTCCTTCCCCTGGCTGCCGG